GATGAAGAGCAACTACGAGAATTCATTTAGACATGCTCCACAGAAGTGCTAAAGGATGTCCTCAGACAGCAGAGAAATAACATGAGAAGGAAACTTGGATCTTCAGGAACCAAGGAAGAGAAACAGAATGGCAAATATCTGGTAAATATAATAGACTATTATTCCCCTCTTGTGTTCTTGAAAATATGCCCGGCGATTGAAAATAAAAATGACAGCACTGTCTGACAGGGTTCCCGCAGTGTGTAGACGTTGTGAGGTCACTGAAACATTAATGGAAGAGGGTGAAGGGACCTCTGTGCTGGTGATGTTAGCATAAGACCTTGATTAATGGGAAAGACATCCATGCTCTGGAATGAACGGGGAGCAGACGTCTGGGGAGACGACGGTTCTCCAGACCAGAGCATGTCCTGTGACCACACGGTCTGTCCCCACTTTCACCTACCACACCCAACTTACCCATCTTTCCTTCCTTCTAAATACATGGGGTCTTCATGAATTCTTTCTCTCTTCCTTCTAAGACAGGGGTCCACAGTCCCCAGGCCATGAACTGGTACTGGTCTGTGGCCAGTCAGGAACTGGGCCTCACAGCAGGAGGTGAGTCGGGGTGAGCAAGAGAAGCTTCATCTGATGGGCTGCTCCCCATCACTCCCATCCTGTCAGATTAGCAGCAGTATTAGACTCTCATTGGAGCACAAACCCTTCTGTGAACTGCACATATGAGAGATCTAGGTTGCATGTTCCTTTTAAGAATCTAATGCCTGATAATCTGATTCGGCATTGTGGTTAGTTGTCTATCACAATGTACTAATAATAGAAATAAAGTGCTCAATAAATGTAATGCACTTGAATCATCCCTAAACCATCCCCTGACCTCAGTCTATGGAAAAAATTGTCTTCCACAAGACCAGTCCCTGGTGCCAAAATGTTTGGGGACCGCTGCTCTATGGCACCCCCTTAGCATATGGTTTATAACTAGTTGAAGTGAAGTGGAAGTTGCTCAGTTGTGTCTGACTCTTTGCGGCCCCATGAACTATACAGTCCATGGAATTCTCCAGGCCAGAATACTGGAGGGGGCAGCCATTCCCTTCTCCAGGAGATCTTCCCAACCCAGGGATCAAACCCAGGTCTCCCGCATTGCAGGAGGATTCTTTATCGGCTGAGCCACCGGGAAGAATAACTACCTGAGGGTTCTTATAATAAACGATAACTTGTAGTGCTAATAATAACAGCCACAGCCATCTATTATGTACCTCCTGTCTACCAGTTATAGCACTAAGTACTATACAAGTTATGTTTAAGTCTTACCCCAGACCCTGTGAGGTAGACAATATCATCCCCTATTTGACAAAAGAGGAAACAGCCTCAATGTGTCACTGTGATTTTCACACCTGTTTCATCTACAGTGGTTACATTTACCAGGTTTGGCTGAGTCATATCAATCCTGGAGCATCCTGGGTTCACAGGCTCCAGGCTGAAATGACCTTAGTAATGTGCTCCTACTTTCATCCTCCAATTCTACAGCTGATAAAACTGGGCTGGTTTGGTTTGGCTTGAAACTGAGTTCAACCCATTAAATCCCAAAGAAGGACAGGCCAGTGAAAGGTCAGTGAACTGGTAGATTTCCACTATGGCTCTTCAGCCTCCCCCCAAATAACACGCAAGACAAGGCTGGGGTAGTTGGAGGGAGTTTCTTGCAAACTGCAGAGCCATTCTTGATCCTCGCTGAGATCAGAATGAAACAATTTATGTTTCTGAGCATCAATACCTTCGACTGACCTTGGTGCTGAATGCTTATTGTGATTTTTGTGCTGCAGCACATTCCAAGTTCAAAGTAAGATGGATATATCTTAGTAATACATGCTGGAGAAAAATCAATTTCTATGATAAATGATGTGATGCTTGTCTTGACTCGGGACTGTGTGGGCAGCCTCCTGAAAGGCCACAGCTCCCCCCTGAGCACTACAAAGTGCTTGTTACGTTAGACTGTTTGGGACTGAGCTGCAATGTGCAGGGAAGGAAATAGCATCTAACCATTCAATTGTAATGTCTGCCATGGTCTGCATGTGTCCCTCCAAAATTCACATGTTGAAATCCTACCCCTTCCCAAGATGATGATTTTAGGAAGTAGGGCCTTTGGGGGTTGCTTTAGTCATGAGGGTGGAGTGCTCCTGAATGGGATTAGTGCCCTTATAGAAGAGGCCCCAGAGAGCTCCCTCACCCTTCCCACCGTGTGAGGACACAGTGAAATGGTATCATTGTGAACCAGGGAAAAGGCTCTCATCCAACTTGCTGGCACCTTGACATTGGACTTCCAGAACTCCAGGATTATGAGCAATAAATGTCTGTTGTTAATAAGCTATCCAGTCTGTAGCATTTTGTTAAGCAGTCCATATAGACTAAGATAATATCAGAGGGAAATTTGCAGAGACAAATTTTAAAAGTCTTTATTGAATTTATTACAATATTGCTTCTGTTTTATGTTTTGGTGTTTTAGCCACAAGACATATGTGATCTTAGCTCCCCAACTAGGGATCGAACCCATACTCCCTGTATTGGAAAGTGAAGTCTTAATGACTGGACCACCAGGGAAGTCCCTCAGAGGGAACTTTTTATAGAGGAGGCCCATTGTGGAGCACTGGGGAGAAGTGGAATTTGGACTTGTAGAAATGAGACTGGAGAGGATGGTATTCCAAGCTGAAAAGGCAAGGGTAGGAAAGGGGGCCAGCTAGTGAGGAGCAGAGTTTGCCTGGAGCACAGAATATATTTTCAAAGGAGGGAAAAAAAACAGAGGTAAGAAAGATGGATGGGGCCTATATTAGGGAGGGTTCTTCCAATGCAAGTAATTGAAACCCAATTCAAATTAACTGAGTCAAAAAAAAGAAAAGGGAATTAATTGATTGTCATAACTGGCACATCTAGAGATGGTGATTGCCTCAGGCATGACTGGATCCAAGCACTAAAAAATGTCCTCCATTTCTCTCTCTCTCCGTCCCTCTGCTGCTCACAAATGGGTATTGGCCTCACTTACTCCCTCTGCAGGCCCACTTCCTCCAGGTAGTCATGGAAAACAACGATCAGCAGGTCAATCTATGGCCCTGTCTAAAGCACATGCCTCTTACTGAGCCCTCTCACTGGCCCCTGGTAAATGGAATGCAATGGTTGGCCGGGCCTGGTTTATATGTCCAGCCACTTGTCATAGACTAGGGTGCAAAATCATGAGAAAGGGGATGGGAAAGCAGGATATAAAATGCACAGTTAACACAATCCACCACAGGGCCACAAAGAGAACCAGGCTGGGACTGTATTTTTCAGACAGTGGCGGGGACAGCAGATGCTTTTAAGGTAAAAAGCATAACCAGAGATGGGAGTTCGAAAGGGGAGTCTAGAGGCAGGGTGTAGGGTGAACTGCAGCGGTCAGGGGGCAGGTCCATCCAGCCATAAGGGCTCAGCTCTGAGTCTGTATTGGTGGAGGTACAGAGGACTGGTCCCTGCCATGGACGAACAGGGGAGAGCAGAGCACTGGAGGGAGCCGTTCTCACCTCTTCACCCCAGAACCAACACCAGCAAAAGGGAACAGGAGCCCTAGTAAAACAACCAGGGTTCAGTGGTTTCTTTGCAAGCCTGTGACCCCCATCAGACTCACAAGACTTAACACTGGGGAAAGGGTGGGACGTGAAATGAGCTTTTCCCAATCCAACAGATGGGGGCTCTGGAGGATAATTACATGACCTTTGCAGGTGTGTGAAATAAGATCCAGAGGCATGCATCCAAAAGTCAACAGTGGTTTACAAGGGGAGAGAGGATCTTTCACTTTGCATCTTGAACACTTTGATGTTGTATAGAACAGTTTTCCCTTTGTAATGAAAATATACACTGCATTTCATTGCAGGAATATATATGACAAAGGGAAGGAGTTGCAACTTTTGTTCCTTGATCTGGTGGCTTGGGGCACAGCAAGTTCAATAGGATAGGGGGATAGGCTGGAGGGGAGTGCAGAACAGGAAAGCAGCTAGTTCTCCCTGGGGCCTCAGAAACGTTTCATTAAGATGTTGCTCAGGCTGAGACTTGAAAGAAGAGCTTTGGTCAGAGTGTTGGTCAGACCAATAAGGCAGAGAAGAAAGAGACGTAAGATGGAAATATGAGGCCAGGGGCAGTGGGGGGCGGGGCGGGGTGGGGAAGGGGCTATCTGATGGCCCAGTGCACTGCGTGATCCATATGCCCCTACCTCCCCGCCACCGCCCCAGCCAGCTCCTGCTTCCTATGCCACGACCCAGGCTTGCCCAGAGGGCAATAGGAGGCCACTGGAAGATCTGATGGCAGGAAGTAGCAAGAGCAACTTTGAGTTCGGAAGTTCACCATAGGCAAAGGTTAGTGGGAGGGGACGGATGGGAGGCTCCTGGAATGACCTGAACAAGACCTGCTGGAGGCCTGAACCACTGCCCTCAGGACGGAGAAGCTTCTCACCCTGGTGAGGAACCGTCACGAGCAGACCAAGGGCACTAGTTGTAGTTGGTCAGGGCTACTGGTCTGAGCTGCCCCCGGATGGTGGGCTGGCGGGGGAGGCGAGCTTCCTTAAGGTCAGCACCGACTCCTCCCCTTCTGTTAAGTTAGTTACCTCCGCTTTGTGGCTGCCATCCATCCAGTGATTCGATCATCCCAGTGGTGGCAGCACATCATCCCATCAACCACAGCTTCTCGAAAAACGCCCGCCCCCTGCTGGCTAATGCTCCCCTGGGCCTGGGTGAAGCGAGGTGCCCGCCCGCCGGTGCACAGCCAGGAGGTAGGTCCTCCTGCCTCACTGGGTAAACCCATGCTAACAGACCTGGTCCCTGAGCTCCCAGCCCAGCACTCTGCCAGGAGGCGTTTGGCCACCCCCTTCCTCCTGTCTCAGGGAGCAAATCAGTCGCCTGTCAAGACCCATGCAGACATCTCTGCCAGGATGCCTCCCATATCAACAAATGCCCTGCTTCCTATCCCTACTTGCTCCCAGCCCCAAACCCTCACCATTGATCCACACGCGGCCCCCACGTCCTGCGGTCACCTGTGCCTTCTTGGGACTTGCTCAGCATATGCTCTGACTCTGCTTCTGCTCTGGAGGCAAAGATCTTGGGGAAGACAAATCCTCCGGCAAGGCCAGGGCCCCCTAAGAGCCTGGTGGGTTCCTGCAGGCACCAGGGCCACCGTCCAGAGCAAGGGAGGCATCCATTGCCAACGGGCCTTTGCTCAGCAATTTCAGACTCAAGGACAAGCTGAAGGTTACTCAAGAGCGCTTTAGGACACAGCCATGATGCACGGGTCTTCCCAGGTGGCTTGGTGGCAAAGAATCCACCTGCAACACAGGAGATGCAAGAAACACAGGGTCCATCCCTGAGTCAGAAAAATCTCCTGGAGAAGGAAATGCAACCCACTCCAGAATTCTTGCCTGGAAAAATTTCATGGACAGAGGAGCCCGCTGGCTGCAGTCGATGGGGTTGCAAGGAGTCAGACTCAATGAGCTACTGAGCTCGCAAACCCACGCAGGATGCGGGAGCACTCCCCAGGCCTCTGATCACCTCTCCCCTCCCCCTGCTCACCCTCCTTCCCGGGCTGAGGCTCCCTCTACCTGCTCTGTGCCTCTGGATCTGAAAACTCTGCTTAGAACACGAACTGGGGGAGGCAGGATCCACAGAGCCTGACAGCACACTGAGTCATTTTAAGAGCTGGTTATTTTTGAGGCCCCAAGCTCAAGAAAGGAATTCGGAGAGAAAATTTAAAAAAAATAACAAGATTGATAGCAGGAGTGCAGCCTCCACTAACATGGGCCGTCAGCTGAAACCAATTTGCACGGCTCAGCACAGTCTCAGCTCATGAACTGCACTTCACCTTAGAAAAGCCCTTCAGCACACGGACACACACACACAGACATACACACTCAGGCAGACAGAAGGCAGGCTGAGTTTCATAGCTATATAGCATGAAAGGATCCTTTTACTTTAGCAATAATCCCTGTGGTTTTGACCTCACCAGCTCCATGTCTTGTGAAGAGGTCTTAGGGACCAGCTGCCCAGTCATCCCAGGCCTGCAAGTTGGATTTTTAGGAGCTACTTTTGGCTAGAGAACCTCAGAAGCAGAAAATCCCAGAAGGCAGCTCATGCTGCCCCACTTTACACTAGTCACTTATCCCTTAAATACCCCATCTCTCCACCCACCTTTATTTTTCAACCTCAGAAACGAATCTGAAGTTCTAAAATATGTTAAGTCCCCCATCCCACAGCTCACCAGAGAATGCCTGAATCTGAATCTCTGAAAAGTGATTGGTCTTCTCCTTGGGAAAATCAAAGATCTTCCCTTCCAGCTGGTCTCCATTACCTAGGGGCCAGGAGGAAGACAATAGAAGGCTTGATCTCTCCCCAGTTCTTTTAAGACCCCACCCAGCCAAGCTCCACCTTCTCCTTGGAACTTTCTGAAAACCAAGTCAGTCTTCTTGGATTTTAGAATCCCAAGTGAGGGCACAGCCCCACTCTCCCAGCCACTCCCATTGTCTACCCTGCAACTTGCATGATGTTTCTCTAGATGAGGAACAATTCCTTCACCTTCAGTCCATGACAGAAATGGGGTGGAGAAATGTTTTACTCCAATGTTAAGACTCCAATGTTAAGTGAAAAATACTAAGTTCAGAGCTCTGTGTATGGTAAGCTACTAATGGTATTCAAAGAAGAGAAAATGAATGTAAATTAATTTACTTGCATGTAAATAAAATATCTCTGGAAGGATACATAAGAAACTCATTATGCTGCTTGCCTCTGAGGAAAACTATATGCTTTTGTCACCTTTGAATTCTGAAACACATGAATGTATTCCTACTCAAAAGGAAGTAATAAAATCACAATTTAAAATACACATATTTGTTTTTTAAATATTTTTATTCAGTAGAGCTTCAAGGTTGACTAAGTCAGGCAGGCCTAACAAAAGTGTACTTGTGGGGCAGAAAAGAAAAGAAGGTGAAGTCGCTCCGTCGTGTCTGACTATTTGCGGCCCCATGGACTGTAGCCTGCCAGGCTCCTCCATCCATGGGAATTTCCAGGCAAGAGTACTGAAGTGGGTTGCCATTTCCTTCCCCAGGGGATCTTCCAGACCCAGGGATCAAACCTGGGTCTCCCGCACTGCAGGCAGATTCTTCAGCGTCCGAGCCACCAGGAAAGCCCATTTGTGGGGTGAGCGGTGGTCTACATGCTGCAGGGAAGGAAGCGAGCAAGGTCAGGATGGTGGCCTTCCGGGCTACGGTGGAGCCAGAGGGGAGGCAAAACCCGCGCGGTCCTAAATGGATATGGCGCCAGTACGATACTGGGTTTCCTAGGTGGCGTCAGTGGGGGAGAACCTGCCTGCCAATGTAGGAAACTCAGGGGGCATGGGTTCGATCCCTGGGTGGGGAAGATCCCCTGGCGGAGGGCATGGCAGCCCACTCCAGTATTCCTGCCTGGAGAATCCCCGTGGACAGAGGGGCCTGGCAGGCTACAGTCCATGGGGTCACAGAGAGTCGGACACAACTGAAGCAACTCAGCATGCACACACCAGTGTGGTGCTAGAACTCCTTAGACCCTTTTTTTTTTTTTTCAGGCGTGTCATGTGGTTTGCAGAATCTTAGTTTCCCAACCAGGGATTGAACCCGGGCCCTGGCAGTGAAGCACTGAGTCCTAACCGCTGCACAACTCCTTAGACCGTCAACAACACCTCTAGTCACGAAATCATGAGTGTAATCGGACTTTCTTAAAATGGGGACAAGGACAAGGCTAGTGAACTGGCTAGTATGGGGCCAATACTGAGGCAGCACACTTAGGCAGAGAAGCTGATTACAGGCAACCTTGAGGAGGAAGGTCAGAGGTTCACGGAGGCCATAGGAAAGCAGGCGGGTACAAACAGGCTGGGGATTTGAGCCAAGTCCCCCCAGAGAGCTTGCCAAACATACAGAAGTTTGTATGAGTTCCTGCTTCACTAAGACCAAGGTTACTCTTGAAGGGAAGTGGCTCTATGACTCTGGAGGCAGAGACCCGTGGAGCAGGACCACTGCCAGCCCATACAGACCCTTCCTGAGGTCCAGAAAATGGCACTCCTTCCTCAAGCCCTTTCCTGACCTTTGCCAGAAAACTGTCACATCTACACGGACTGGCCTGTGAGGGGCACCCGCTAGGGTCATGCAGCCCCCAACACGTTCCGCCACTGCCTCTGCAGGGGGCCACTCTGAAGAGGTGGGGGGGAGCCTGTGGGCCAGGTCAGTGACTCATAGGGAGGCAGCACTTCCTGTCTTCTAGAAAACCTTAGAAAAATACACACACATACACATACACACTTCTGCCTTTACAAAACAAAAACCTTCATGGGTAATTCACACGTTTCAAAAAATTACTTTGTGAAAAGACTTCTCTTAAAGAAGCTCTGTTTTTAGATCGAAAACGTGATTTGTATTCCTATGTTTTATTTCTATATTTTATCATACCCTGAGATGTATTGGTACCAATTTCTCATGATCCAAAACATTTTAGGAACCCATGGTTGAAAGAGAACTCCGAGTTGAAAGAGCAGGAAGCAGCCCATCTCCTCATAAGATTTTCTTCACATAGAATATGTTCCACACAGCTGACTCACTTGGTGATAACAGGGGATTGAAAACATTCTTGTGTTAGTGATCTAACATGAACAACTCTCTTTCCAGCACACAGAAATGCTTCTCAAAGTCTAATGTACATAAGAATCACCAGGGAAGGGTGTTAAAATATCAGGTTCCCCCCTCCTTCCATTTCAACTACAGTTCCACTTCTGGCTCAGGGCAGTTTTGTTTTACACCTGAGCAAGGACTCAGTTACTGTATGCACTTCCCTCTCTGATGTGAACTCAGTGGAGACCTGCCAAACAGAACAAAGACTGTGATCTATTTTATTACTGGTGGCTTTTAAATAAACATGCAAAAATCGTATGGCTCCATCAGGTACTTGAAGCAAACACACATTCCCTTAAACAGGTATGAAATCAAATGCCTATACAATTTAATTTTTTATGGCTTTAAGCAAAGCACTAAATATGTTTAGGCAGTCCTGAAACATATTTTTTCTTTTGTTCTCTCTTCTCTTCCCCAAGGTCCCAGCCCTGAAGCACATGCCCTGAAAAAAAAAGAACAGGAAACTGACACTTACTAAACCCCTATTGTGTCCATTTTGCTGATGTGGAAATATAAGCTCAGAAAGATTCAATGTCTTGCTCAAGTGACACATGTAGGACAAATCATTTCACCTAGCACATCTGTGCTATGCACAGAAAAATAGTAACTAACACACACAAATGACCGCATGGTTTGTTTTCTCTTACTTAAGACTCCCTCCAATACTTTTCTTCAAATCTCATCTTATTTCCATGGCTTTACATTCCATCTATCTATAGTCATCAACTTCCAAATTCATACTGTCAACCCAGAGCTTGTCTCTGAGCTTTAGAGACACATCCACTTTTGACTTGCAGGTGTCTGAAACTGAAAATGTCAAACACTGACCTATTTATTGTCAGCCCCTCCTTCTCCAGCAGAATCCATTTCTCACCTCAGTCTTCATCACTGCACTTTCTGGCACTACCTTCAACCCAACTGCTCAAGCCAAAATGCCAGGCAAGCATCCTGAGAGGGTGCCTCCAAACTGTAACTGAAACCTAACTACTGTCCACTCCCTTCTGTTTTCACCATGCAGGTGTGTATATATGCATCTCCAAACCTGTTTTCCTTAGCTGTGGGGTTGCAGTCAAACATGTTTGCAAGCCACTTATTCCCCATCAGGTCAGGGCCCCTGCCACCTCTTTGATCTCATCTTCCATCACCTTCCCCTCTGTTTCCCTTAAGTGTTGAGATCTTTCCCACCTCGGGATATTTGCTGTTCCCTCCACCTGGAACATTCTTCTCCTTATCTCTCCCACGCCTGGCTCACTGTCATCTTTCAAATCTCTATAAATATCACATCCTCAGAAAGGCCTCCTCTGACTACACTTCGTAAACCATGTTCTACACAGTCATTTTTTTCTAACAAATACTTACCAGTTGACTTGCTTACCATCAGTTTTTCCATGAGACTATAAGCTTTGAGAGGACAAGAACGGTCTGTGTAAATGTTGATTCCCTGAACCCCACTTTCACCTAACTCAAAGAGCCCTCCCAAATGGTGGGGTAATGAATGACTGTCTGAAGGGTTTTGATATTCATCGTAGTAGCGTGAGAACTGTGTCCCCAAAAAGATATATCTGAGTCTTAACCTGTGAAAATGACCTCAGTTAGAATTAGGGTCATTGTAGATGTAATTAGTTAAGATGAGGTCA